AAACTCGATTTGTGTCAATGAAAAATGAATCCGTAGAAGATAATGCTGCTCTACTTTTGCATGGTGGAGACAACAGTGGATATAACAATAAAGAGTGTAAAGGGTCCAATAAGAATAAAGTTGAATGACAAAATTGTACTACAGAAGAAGAAGTATGAAGAAAGGACTTATAGAAACTATATTATATAACTATATTAATACGGCCAAAATTGCTCTGAAGGCTGGCATTAATATAATACTACTGAACCTTACTTTGCGTTGTAACTTGCATTGTTTTCTAATCTATAAGAACTGCGAAAACGAAATGAATTGAACTAGTTTTTATTCAATTAATACTGATACCAATACTTTAGACACTTTTAAAAATATAACAATATATCCATTTATTAAGATTTCGCTGTCACTTGAGGTCTCCGCTGAAAACAGTAAAAATTATCTTACATAATTTATCATTTTTATAGACTAACAGTGATCTAGGTGATCATTTGTTAACCTTTTGTGAAATCAATTTTTGGTTGATCAAAAAACCTCTTAAATTTTTGGATAAAATAAAGCGTATACAGCTTCTGGCATTGCTTTTTATCTGTCCGTGAAGTTTCAATACAATCGTTTCAGCAATTGTATTTAAACTATTTTGTGTTACTGTTTTCTTACTTTTTGTAAACAGGAAATTATTATTATTATTATATATATCTTGCTATAAAATGGTGTTAAAATAAAAATAAATATTTTCGCATCAGAACGTTAAGAAATGGAAACATACATAAACACAAAATATCATAATCATCATCACTATAGCCCTTTACAAGTCAAAGCTGTACATCGGCCTTCCCAAGCCACTAAGCAGGTTCTGTGTCACCGGAATCTATCGACTTCCCGCGTGTCTTACCAAATCGTGGGGTTCTACACTTTACCTACTGGTACAAGGATACCACTCGAGGACCTTGCTTTCCAATCAGTTATCGGTTCTTGATGCTATATGGTCGGCCCATTCCTACTTCAGCTTACGAATCCGTTGGGCTATGTCAGTTTCTTTGGTTTTAATGTGGATATCCTCATTTCTATGTTTAAAGACGCAGCGAAACCCCAAGCATATAGCACTCTCCATATCTCGCTCTAAGCGGCGTTGAGTTTCTAGATACGGATAGCTGTGAAAGACCACGCCTCACATATATAAGTCATCACTGGCAACACGCACTGGTTAAAAAAAACAAAAAAAATGTTGTTTTCATGTTTTGAGGTATACCTGGAAAAAAGATATGTCGTAATCTCCCGAACGCTGTAGAGCCAATTTGGATCCGTCGATTGACCTCTCGGTCGAAGTTGGACTTACCTAGTCGGACTATTTGTACCTGGTAAACATACTCGTCAACAACATTGAGCATAGTTCTCCTAACAACTACCGGCATAGTTGTCACAAGGACGTTGCACGTAACCTTTGTTTTGTCCATGTTCATCTTTAGTCCTATCCGTTGGGAGGCACTATAGAGGTAATTGAGCATAGTGCTTAGGTCTTCCAGCTATTCTGCTATAAGGACTATATCATTGTGCATTAATACTAATTAAAATATTTTTATACATTAGTTTATCTTGATTAGTGGCCAAATCTATCAAACAATAGTTCTGATAGTCCTGGAGTAATGATATAGCTTTTATCTTTAATATCAACTATTGAATTGTCTTCTGTTTTCATTATTGCGATTAGAATGTTTCCTACTAATTTCCTGCCTATCACTATCCATAAAATGTTAAGAATATCAGTATTTATTATTTGTTTAAAGCTTCATTTGTGGCAGCACCGAGTTTAATTCCAATTACATTTTATATCTCTCTTAAAAAAACAATTAACTAACGCTATATTCTAATCTTATAATTAATTCTTATTATATAGCCAACACTTTAATGATAAAAGCGAATGTACCGATGAGAATGAACACTAAATTAAAAGCCCTAAAAAGCGAAAATGACGTCATTATACGACTCGTATTGCATAAGAAATTCATAAACAACCTTTAAGATGTTACCCCTCGCGAAATACTTAACATAAATTAATTAAGAAATTCGCGCAATCACCCTGTTGCTGACGGTTTGACGAAAAAACGGCATTAAGTACTCTCCACTAATCTCCAATCTACTACTTACTACTAACTACTTACACAATCTTTTAAATCTCAGTGATACTGGTCTCTCTTTCTAGACCTGCATAGTTGCTCCTCCATAATAAAAACAATATACGGTAGAAGATGCGTAGAGACGCAACGTCTCTTCACAAGGCCAGTGGATCAAGCCGATCAGAAAGAACTTGGTTGTCGACGATTCGGGCGGCTATCCGTTGAATACGACACTTTACGTTTCTCGAAATGTCGACGACAAGGATTCCGATGCTGGCTATGATGTGTCCTGAAATTGAGAAGAGCGCGGAGCCTTGCAATGCTCTAGTTTGTGTGATGTAGTGTTTTAAGCTTTTTTGGCTTTTACCGCTTTATTTCGCACTTTTGACGCAAAAACCTTAGCGCATTGTTACTCGCCTGATTTATCTCGGTGTGAATTGATTCCATACATAAAAGTGTTTTACACATAGTAGAGCCACTCTGCTGCTATATTATAGTTGCAGCAAGAATGGGTGGGCTCGACCGGGTAAGGATCACGCTCTCACAGAATACCATCGTAAAATAGCAGGTTAATGCCGCTGTGTTTCGTATGATGAGTGTAGGGAACCAGAGACCCGTTTTATTGGTAACAAGGCATTCCTTCTTAGTCCTCAGGGGTGACAAGGCATCTGCATTTTGTAGATGTCTATGAACCACAGCATCCACTTACCATCAGGTGATGTGCGCTCGTTTGTTACCCTTATTCTATAAAAAAAATGCAAGTTCGTTCAATATTTGTCGGTTTGAAATTGATAGATGCTATACTACCGAAAATTAATGCGTTAAATTGTAAATGGTTTGGTACAGTTCACAATTTTTCATATTACAATCTCGCGAGTTAGATTATAAACTTAAACTCGAATACACTCGATCAATTGAAACGGATGTAAGCCAAAACGATTACTCCACACACTGGCTTCAAAATTCAACTTAAGTTTTTACAGTCACGGTCAATTTTTGGATGCGCAACAGATCAACTGATCAGTTTAACTGACCGTGTGTGTCGTGCGTTACGATGTTCACAATCGTGGGCTTAACATATTTTTTTTTTATAGGAGAGGGGGCAAACGAGCTAGCGGCTCACCTGATGGTAAGTGACTACCGCCGCCCATGAACAACTGCAACACCAGGGAGGGAATTGCAGATGCGTTGCCGGCATTTTAAAAAGGAGTACGCTCTTTTCTTGAAGGTCCCTAAGTCGTATCGGTCTGGAAAAATCGCTAATGGTAATCGATTCCACAAGGAAGTCGTGCGAGGAAGAAAACATCTTCTAAATCGCACAGTGGTGGACCGCCAATCATCCAGATGGTGTGGATGGTATCGAGAGTTCTGCCGCGATGTGCGTTCGTGAAATTTGGCGGCTGGGATTAATCCGAACAATTCCTCAGAGTATATAGTTAATCTGTGGTTATTATATTATATACTCTTTGTATAAAGGTACTTTACATAGACCATGGAGTATAGACCATGGAGATGGAGTATCTATACTCCATGACATAGACTTAAAAAGTATATTCTAAGTCTATGGGTACTTTAAGCCAACTGTCACTGTATATGTGTAGGGTGCCTAATTAAACGATTCTCCCCAAAAAGTGGGGAAGTTCAAAGACATGGGCCCTTTTGCATACAAATTGAATTTTCGTTCTAAATACATCCAATTACTTATTATTTAAGCAATAGTTTTATTTTTACCAAAGCTCGATTTCTCGGTACCTATTATTTATTTAGCATTTTATTCGAATCTCATTCGTGTTAATAATTTATCAATTATTGTATGTAAAAACTATCGAATAATTTATTTATAAGTAAATATATTTACAAAAATTATTTACATACAGTTTTAAAAAGTGTAGCTTTGAATTTGCAACTTATATATTTCTTTTATGGTTTCTAATATTATACGAAAAGTTTCTATGATTAGCACCAGCAACTTAGTAATATTTCATTCTCACAAAATGGGCGCAAGCACAGCTGCGTTAAAACAATTGTACTAAATTTTCCTTCTTCTTTTGTCCGCGTTTATCCATCTAGACATATTTAAACATGTCTGCCATCAAGGCTCAATGTAAGTAAACATTGTGACCTAAGTGACCTACATCTAGCCTCGATTAAAAATCAAAATGCAAATTAAAATGATTATTCTATAGACAAGATAATATAATTAAATATGAAAGTAAGATTTTAGATATCGCTATAACCAGTCTCCACGTTAAATATTAGATTATATTGAATTCTATTCTCAACAAATAAAACAAACAAACAAATAAAAGTATGAGATTTGAAGTTAAAGTTTTTCAACCAGAATTGCAAAATTAAAATAGATTTATCAAATGAATAACAAATTTAATACAATATATTTCTAAATTGAATAAATTTCAATAGGTGGTGTCATATCATTATTCTGATATATTTTTATAGTGGTAGCATCATCAAGTAGTACGTAATATATTTAATACCTGTGTCGTACTTAATGTCAAGTTAAATGATTTTTCGCCAATGCCTAATTACCTAATATCTCAGAAAGAATGCGATGTTATGCATCTTCATATAAAAGAACTTTTTTCGAGTGGCAGCCTCCTATCGTACCGATTAGCAAAATGTAGGGTGGCCCCTCACTAAATGGAGTGACGTCCTGGTTTAGCGTGCAGGAATGTTTTGTGTCGTTTCTTAGGTCGAGGTCTATGTCCAGCAGTGGATTTGTGACGGTCTGAATGAAGAAAAAAATCACTTAAATTTAATTTAGGCTACTTTGAACTCATTTTTGGTGACTTAGACTTAGCTAGACCAGGCAACACTGCACAGTACTTTGTTTACCAGCCTCGAAACAAAAACAAGTTGATTGTTGTAGTCACAGTTAATTTCGTAACGTCGTGCATTTAACAGTTTTCCTAGTAAGAAACGTTGATAAAAAGTTATGATTAGAAAATTTTAACTGTAATTTATTGATTTAACAATTTGAGATAGAAATAAATGTAATATTGCATAATTTAAATAACAATACAAACTCCCTTTGTTCTGAACTTTTTGAACTGGAGGCGACGTTGCCGTTCTTACTGTGTGAACTTTCTTTGTTGTTACTTAGGTAATTTTAAAGAAAATTATATTGGAATAAGTTATAATTTAAAACTTGTAAACTTGTTTAAGAGAAATAAATACAAGGAATGCTTTTGTGCTTTGAAATGTGTGTTTTGGAACGCTATTCATTTTCTGATGCAATAACGGTTTGGCAACAGCGCGCGGAATCCGATTGATTACGCTGATGTTAATACAGATGTGGTAGACATAGAAACCATTCGATATTCCAGACTAAGCGTTCCTTTATGAGGTGAGTTGATTATTAATTTATTGTAAATTTCATTTAGTTGTGTTAAAAACTATGTGTAATTGCAATTTCAAGTTTCCCGCGGAATGACGTAATCGTCAAAAATCGGTCGGCCATTTTTTCTGGAATTGCGACCAGTCATCTGTCAAAAACAGTCAAGTGACTCAAGTGTATAACTGAATTTTGTCCTGTAGGTGTTAATCAAAATTTCATCCCACATAAGGAGTCTTTTCAATCAAAAACCACCACGGAAGCATCCGGGTAAGTTTGAATTTGCCATTACACATAACAATAACACTTAACCTTTATAAATTTTGCGAAAATTAAACATTTTACTTTAACCAACCTCAATAACCTCACTTTTATGCCCATTTTATGGGTCAACCAGTGTTACTGAATTTTTATAGGCAGAATCACATAGTTACTAACTCTATTTGCATATTCCGAAAGTAGAAATTCGTACGCAGGTGAAAAGGCCAATTTTCTTATTAATTTTGTAAACCGTAGAAAGTTTCCAAGAGTAAAAAGTTTTTTTTAGGTATTTTGTAACAACTCTTATTAGACTTTATATCTAATGACATTGCGAGTAATTCTATCATCAGATTCAATTTTCTAGTTTGGACCATTGTATACTTTACAATGGTTATACGTCGAGAGGTTTCTAGAAAATTCTATAGTTCTAAAATTAGTTAAATAGTCATTACACTAGTTATCGATTGCGTAATTTCAAAACTATGAGCCTTAAATTCAAATAAAGCTTGACAATTTGTGGTTAATAAAATTTTTATGTATAGTTATTTAAAAATTACATACAGCTCTTCCAATTTGAACCTTGAATAAAATTGTTTTGTATTACTTTGTATCATACTTACAATATTAAAACATTACCATTTTTAGTATTCTGGCTTATGTTTCTGCATTGGTAAATACATTCTTATTAAAAGGGGCTGGAAGTTTTAACAGTTAAGGAGGATATTGGGGCTGTTTATTCCATATTTGTATGCATTCTCCTTGGATAAAGATGCTGGAGCAATTATTGTATGATAGTTTCTAAATCTACCACTGCCATAGCTTGTTGGGTTGGGTACAGTACGACAGCAATAGTTCATTAAAAACCTATTTTTCAAATTTCTTGCAGCCTGTATATGCTCTTAAACTTTTAACTTTCTAATATCTCAACAGTCTTTGAAATTATTGATGCCTGTGAGTCATCGATAAAATTGCCAATATATTGAAGATGTGATAAATTGTTTCTCTGCTAAGAGAGCATCATATAGAGTTATATATGATGCTCGGTTAAATACTAGTTTCTTGCTCTGAATGTTTTGTGATTTTTTCGATATGTCTCTTACATTTTATTGCATAATTATTTCATCCTACATGTGTAGTTAGGAATAAGTTATGAACTCATGGTATCGATATATACTATGGGTTTGGTTTATGTGGTGTACAGTTGTCAATATTCAACAAGGGGTAAATCATAAATTTTATTAATTTTTAAAAAAAGGAGGTTCACAATTCGAGTGTATGTTTTTTGTATGTATGTTATGCAATATCTTCACAAATTGTTAACCAATTTTGATGATTCTTTTTTATTAAATAGGTTATACTTTAAGGGCACAAAATAGCACGCCTAAGAGTAGCAAATAAATAACTTCTTTTTTAACAATTTGAAGCCTTAAGTTGCTTAGTAACTTGCTTTACCAAGCAACTTGTTGCATATAGCTTTACCATAATATAACCTGGCTATTTATCAGTCTACTCTCAATAGTTATCTTAAGTGGTTTTTTTTTTTTATATAGATTAAGGGTGACAAACGAGCACACAATCCACCTGATGGTAAGTGGTTGTTGCGGCCCATAGACATCTACATCTGTCCTCGTTTGCGAATCAAAATGCAGATGCGTTGCCACCCGTGAGGACTAACATGGAATGCCTCATTTCCAGTAAAAAGGGCCTCCGGCCACCTGCACTCCCCAAGCGAAACGCAGAGGTAAACCTCTACTTTACGCTGGTATTCTGTGAGGTCGTGGTACCACTCCGGTTCGAGCCGGCCCATCCGTGCGACAGCAAAAGCTGCCGCGTGGCTCTACCACTGTTAAATGTAATTAAAATGTTACAAAATAATTTAAAGATAAATATTTGAATTTTCATCAAAATAAAATATATTAGTATACAATAGTTAGAACTTCTACATGTTGAAACTAGAATGTGTTAATAGAGCGTGTAAAACTTTCACTAATAGTCAGTTTAGAAAAAGTACTATTGTAGAGGAAAATTAAACTGATATTTAGGTTTTAAAATATTTATTTGATCTAAACATAAACTACAGGTAATTTTTTTATGTGTTATAATTTTAGGTGGTCTTTTATGGCCAATTAATTACAAAATAACATTAAGAAAAGGCTACTTTGATGCTGCAGCATCCGATCTTGCACACATCTTTTACTAGATTTTATAGCTCTTTTTCAATTTCATCTAGTTCTAGTAAAACCTTCATCTAGGTAGGTATTCTCTCTACTTCTTACATCTTTATATTATTCTCTTACCAATTTCTACTCTTCAAGTAGCATTGTAATCAATGCTTTGTTCTAGTTTGAAGAATATGAGAGCCAGTTTAATGACAGACAGTGAGCATCTCCATCTTCTTCTTGGAGATGACAACATATCTGTAGCTTTAATTTGAAGTTGTAGGTTTCATGGGCTGCACTATCCACTTACCATCTTGTGGACTGTCAGTCTAATATTCATAAATAAAAAACATTTTAAATAAAAAATACTTGTGGAAATATTGTTTAAATAATAGGTATGTTATATATTCATTGAAATTGAATGATATATAACTTTCAAATAAATTTGCCAGTACGATATGTACAACCACCTACTGTAAGTTAATTCTACTATGGCTCTAACATTTGAGGTAGCTCAAACAATATGTTGACAAAGTTTTACCGCAATCTGATGAACGGTATGGCAGTGCATAAAATACGAACAAACAAAAATTAATTTTTATATATTCCTCCACTCAATATGTAACGTGAGTCGTATCATATTAAGCCGTCCCTTCTCCACAATGTTTGTTATAAATCTATTCTTTTACTCTATTAATCCTTAGCTTCCACTATTTCCTGAGTTTTTATTACATTGTTATTCCAAAGAAAGAAGAACAAAGCATGTTAAAGTTGCTAATGGTGTGATAGTATTTCTTGCATTTATTCCATGTGAAAACAATACAATAGTTAATTAATTCGCTGCATAAAAAAATTGTATGGCTCATTAACTTAAGAATTAATGAAAGTACTAGTAATTATTGTAATTAATACAATAATTTAAAGTTAAAATTGTTTGGAAACCTGTTATTTGTTATTGTGTTTTAACAATTTCTTTGATGTTTTAAACATTTTCTTTTGTAGCGTCCATTGTTGCCCTCCCGTTGCGAGTGTTGTCATTGCAGGTGGTTTTGCCGTTTTTAAATTCTCTTATTAGTATGCCACTGTAAAATAAGACTGAGTATTGTTATCCATAGTAGACTGCAGTTCTTCAAAAGCAGTTAGTAGATATTTTTTTTCAGGCAGTATAATTTAATAACAAGTCCACATGATCAGCAGCTTCACTTACTAATACGACCGCTAGAACAATATGACAGTGTAGTCATTAATGATAGGAATCCTCAAGATAAGAACTACTTTTTTATTAAGTCACTTTCTTGTTTGTTTGTGTGTCTGTCGTTCTGGTGGTATTTTACAACTCAAATTTCGAGCACTTCCCGATTAGCTAGAGATTTGAAATTTTGAACATAACTCAGAATCACATGACAATGTGGAAAAAATGTGGTATATTCAATGTTTTTAGTACAAAATTTAAAAAGCTTCACTTGTTTATCCTTTTTTTTTTCTTAAAAAACGTTACCGCCACACTAGGATTTTCTCCTGTATTGTGGAGGCATTTTACAAACATAAATTGCACGAGAATAAACATCCATACCCGGAACAATTATTTATAGACCATACAAATACCTGTTCCGTGTGAGATTCGAAGCCGCGGCCCTCAGCACGACAACTCATTGCTAAGCCACTGCGCCACAGAGCTGTCAAAGCCGTTTTTAGTCACTAAATTATATTTTGTAAGAATGTTGGACCTATTAATAAGAAACAGTACAAGTTACTATGTACTGTTATGTAAGTAAATAAATAAATGGAATTTATATCAATAATTTTATTTTTCTTAATGTATGTCAACGTAACCTTGCTTATAGCATAATGTACTTTGAGGGCAAGGAGAAACCTTCATCTAAAGATTTATTCTTGTTTTTCCTTTATGTTCCTACGACTGGAGTGAATCGTATCTCCTTTATGTAAAACATAAACACTCACACCTGTCATCCATAGGAGTAGGCAGAGACTATGGACTTCCATTTGGCACCTACGCATACACGCTCGTCGGTTAAGGGTACTCTTAATTTGGCCCATTTTCGAAATGTCGCCAATTTGGTCGATAAACTTTCGCCTACTTTATATGTCGTAGAATATTACGATTTTCTGCCGACTTCCAAAAAGGAGCCGGTACTCAATTCGACTGTATGTTTTTTTTTTTTTCGTTTTTTTTTTTTACGTGTGTTACCTCAGAACTTTTTTCTGGGTGAACCGATTTCGATGATTCTTTTTTTATTTGAAAGCTGGTACTTCTCGTGTGGTCCCATATGAATTTGATCAAGGTCAGACCAATAGTTTTTAAGTTATTCTTAAATAACTTATATTGAAGTCGGCTGTACAAAATTTTTAATTTTAAATTATGTTTAGTTTTCTCTAGAATTTTCACAAATATTTTTTTTTAACTTGCGATTTATTATTACGGAACCGTATTTTGTTAACATACTGGGTAGTAGGACTCCTTTATGGATTGCAGGACCCCAACTGGGTAGGTGCATGCACTGCTATATTCAGGTTTAAAAGGTATAGAGACTAAAATAGTGGCATTCCACGTTAATGCGCAGTATGTAGCAG